TCCACTCACCTCAGCCTCCCAAAGGCGCGGGATTACAGGCTGAGCCACCGAGCTCGGCAGTTGCTTAACTTTTTGAGGACCTGCCAAAGTGTTTTCCAAAGTGACTGCATCATATTACAGCACTTCTGCCCCCAACAATGTGTGAGGTTTCCAGTTTTACTATATCCTAACCATTACATAGTGTCTGTCTTTTTCCCCCCTCTAATCCCATGACAGATGTGTAGTTGTGTCTTTTTTCACTGTAGCCCTTGTTGAGGATATGAAGTGGCATTTGTTTGTGGTTTTGATCTGTATTTTCAAATGATTGATGATACTGAGTGTCTTTTCCTACGCTTATTGACCATTTGTATAGCTTCCTTGAAGAAACGTCTATTTAAACTTTTTACCTGTTTTTTTTTTTTTTGAGTTGGAGTCTCACTCTGTCACCCATGCTGGAGTGCAGTGGCACACTCATGGCCACCGCAGCCTCCACCTGCTGGGCTCAGGTGATCTTTCTGCCTCAACCTTCCAGGTAGCTGGAACTACAGGCATGTGCCACCACACCCAGCTAATTTTTTGATTTACTGTAGAGATGAGGTCTCACCAAGTTGCCCAGGCTGGTCTTGAACCCGTGGACTCAGGCAACCCTCTCACCTCCGTCTCCCAAAGTTCTAGGATTATAGGTGTGAGCCACCATGCCCGGCCTTTGCCTGTTTTTTAAAAATTGGGTTGTCCTTTTATTGTCTTTGCATATGATTTGCGGAAGGGGGTCCGAATGAATTCTTCTGCTTGGTGGATCTCCAATTGTTCCAGCACCATTTCTTGGAGAGACTGTTCCTTCCCTGTTGAATTGTCTTGGCATCCTTGTCAAAAACAGTTTGCTTGTGAACTCTTAATTCTGTTTCATTGAACTGTTTGTTCTTTTCTTTTTTTTTTTTTTTTTGAGTTGGAGTCTCACTCTGTCGCCCATACTGGAGTGCAGTGGCCGCTCCCGGCCACCGCAGCCTCAACCTGCTGGGCTCTGGCGATCCATCCACCTCAGCCTTCTGAGTAGCCGGAATTACAGGCATGCGCTACCATGCCCGGCTGATTTTTTGATTTATTTTAGAGATGAGGTCCTTCTGCCCAGGCAGGTCTTGAACCCGTGGGCTCAGGGAATCCACTCACCTCAGCCTCCCAAAGGCGTGGGATTACAGGCTGAGCCACCGAGCCCGGCTCCATGTGAATTTGAGGATCAGCTTATCAATTTCTAGGGGGAAAAAAAAAAATCGGCTTTTGATAGATACTGCACTGAATCTGTATATCAATTTTGGGAGTATTTCTTTCTCAACAATATTAAGGCTTCCAGTCCGTGACCATGAAAATGTCTTTTTTATGTCTTCTTCACTTAGACTATTTTATTTAGGTCTTTTAAAGTTTTTTTCCAGTAGTTTACAGTTAATTTAGTGTTAAAATCTTAAACTTCTTTTATTAAATTTCTAAGTATTTTAATTATATATGATGCTATTATACATGAAATTGTTTTCTTAATTTAAATTTTGGGTTGTTTATTGCTGGTGTATAGAATACATTTTTTTTTTTAAGGCATAGAGTCTCACTCTGTTGTCCAGGCTAGAGTGCAGTGATGTGATCATAGCTCACTGCAGCCTCGATCTCTTGGACTTAAGCCTCCAGAGTAGCTGGGATTACAATCATGAGCCACTATACCTGACTCTGACCTTGTATATTGATCTTTTATCCTGCAACCTTGCTGAACTCATTTGTTGGTTCTAATAATTTGTGTGTTTGTATTCCCTGGGATTTTCTGTATACAAGATCAAGACATCTGCAAATAGAGATAGTTTTACTTCTTCTTTTCCAGTCTGGGTATCTTTTATCTCTTTTTCTTGCCTAATTGCTCTGGCTAGAACTTCTAGAACAACGTGGAATAAAAATGATGAGAGTGGGATCCTTGTTTTGTTTCCTGATCTCAGGGGAAAAGCTTTTAGTCATTTGTTATTAGTATCATATTAGTTCTGTGTTTTCCTTCTTTCCCTCCCTCCCTCCTCCCCCTTCCTTCCTTTTTTTTTGACAGGGTCTCACTCTGTCATCCAGGCTAGAGTGCAGTGGTGCATTCCTGGCTCACAACCTCTACCCTCTGAACTCAAGTGACCCTTCTGTCTAAGACTCCCAAGTAGCTAAGAATACAGGCATGCACCACCACACTTGGCTAATTTTTGTAGAGATGAGGTCTCACTGTGTTGTCTAGGCTGGTCTCGAACTCCTGGGCTCAAGTAGTTTTCCTGCCTTGGCCTCCCAAAGAGCTAGGGTTACAGGCGTGAGCCACTGTGTCCAGCCAGCTCTGAGTTTTTTATTAATGCCTTTTGTCAACTTGAGGAAGTTATCTGTTTCTACTTCGAGTGTTTTTATCATGAAAGGGGATTAGATTTTGTCATATGCTTTATCTGTATCTACTGAAATGATCATGTGTTTTTTGTACTGTATTTGTATATATATTTTTAGTCAGTTATTTAACAAAGTTAAAAAAAATTAAATAGCCAGGCTCGGTGGCTCAGCCTGTAATCCCGTGCCTTTGGGAGGCTGAGGTGAGTGAATTGCCTGAGCCCGCGTGTTCGAGACCTGCCTGGGCAATTTGGTGAGACCTCATCTCTACAATAAGTCAAAAATTAGCCGGGCGTGGTAGTGCGCGCCTGTAGTTCCAGCTACTTGGAAGGCTGAGGCGGAAGGATCGCCGGAGCTCAGCAGATGGAGGCTGCGGTGGCTGGGAGCGGCCCCTGCACTCCAGTCTGGGCGACAGAGTGAGACTCCAACTCAAAAAAAAAAAAAATTAAATGGAGACAAGGTCTTGCTATGTTGCCCAGGCTTGTCTCAAACTTCTGACCTCAAGCAGTCCTCCTACTTCAGCTTCACAGAATGCTGGAATTACAGGTGTGCACCACTGCTCCCAGCCTTAACATACTTTTAGTTGGCTTCTGCAGTGCTAGAAATACAGCAATGACTAAGGTCATTATTAAGGTGTTTTTTGAATAGCAAAAAAGACAGGAACAATAAGGCAGTGGCAAAAAGAAGCCTCAGGAGCTATGAGAAGTCGGAGGAATGTCTCCTAACCTCACCTAGTGAGGTGGTGATGTCACAGGGAAGGCTCTCCAGAGGAAATGGCACCAGGTCAGGGAAGTGCAGGATGAGTGAGTTAGCTGGGAGGAGGCTTGTGGGTGGTACATTCCGAGCATAGAAGAGGCACTTGAGAAGTCAGAGAGGCAGACACTGAGAGCATAGTGTGTTTTGGGACACTCCTAGGCAGTGAAGCCATCAAGTAGTGACTGATGAGAGTTCTGTCAGACTTGTGATGGCAGGCAGCAGTTCAGAACTTTAAGCAGGGCCTTCAGAAGTTCTCCAGTCTCTAAAGCAGGAGCAGCTCAGAAATGACTTCAGTGTGTACAGTGGTGGCAGATCTTGGTCCTTTCTGATTTGTCTTCCTTGTGATTACTTTCCAGCATCCGCAATTCCAGCAATAGCCAGGTAAACAAGCTGACCCTGTCAGGGAGTGACAGTGTGATTCTTCGTGATACATCCACCAATGGAGCCAACGATGAGGAAGAGGGACAGCCTCGGCGGGCTGTGGACAACGAGAAAGAGGGGGTGCAGTATAGCTACTTCTTCTTTCACTTCATGCTCAGCTTGGCTTCCTTGTACATCATGATGACCCTCACCAGCTGGTACAGGTAGGAGGCACAGATGCAACAGATGGAAAACCACCTGGTTCCTTAGACGCCTGTCAAATTTCCATCTGTCATCCTCACCTCAGGACCCTTTTCGTTAGCCATGGGATGAAGTTGTGTTCTCTTTTCTGAAATAGTTTTGACTTTTGCTTCTCTAGCATTTCAGACCCATTGGAATTCTTTGCAGGGCAAATCAGGGGCTGCTCTTTCAGACTTGCCAGAAAAAATCATGACATAAAGCAATCTGACCCATTTTTCTTCACTCATTTTCTCTGTGTCTACAGATGGCTATATCAAAGTAATAATGTGTTGAGGAAGAACTGTTTCAGTGAGGCTATCTCAATCTAGACTTTTGCCAATAACTAGAACATCCAGCTGTTCCTGAATAACCTTACCCGAATAGTCAGGGTCTTTCATGCTGGCAAGAAGAAAAGGCCTGTGTGAGAGGAAAAGCCCCTCCGCCCATGGGAACTAAAAGCAGCAGCTTCCTCAAGTCCTCTCTGGAACCTTCCTGGGGGCTAGCGCCAGCCTAGTGTCACTAAAGAATTGCTTGGCCTTGGTTGGGGGCTGCAAGATGCTGATATCAGCTCTTTCACCTGGACTCTCTCTTGTTTTCTTAGCCCTGATGCCAAGTTCCAGAACATGACCAGCAAGTGGCCAGCTGTATGGGTCAAGATCAGCTCCAGCTGGGTCTGCCTCCTCCTTTACGTCTGGACCCTGGTGGCTCCACTCGTCCTTACCAACCGGGACTTTAGCTGAACCTCAGAGTGCCAAGGACACCTGAAGCTTGAAAGGTCTCCTTTGCTGAAAACCCATGTATACCTTTTCAGTTTGCTTCAACTAAAATACTAAGCGAATGCTTTGCAAATTTGACCATGTCCAGGTTTATATCAGAAGGCAAGATTGAATAATGCTTGATGCAGAATCTGAACTTTTCATTTATCTGTATATTCTGTGTATTTGTAAGGATATAGCACAAAGGGAACATTTTTGTGTTTAAAGTGAACTACAGCTGTGCTGTGAAGAGAGTTCTTTATAAAGACTGGTAGGTTCCTATAACTTTGGTTTAATGTAAGATAGAAGAGTGTTGGATATTTGAGGCCATGGTTAATATATTTCTATTGCAGTATCCTTAAAAAGCAAAAAAAAAAAAAAGCATTTATACAGTTTTCCTGTGTAAAAGTTCTTACTTATGTAATACAAGCCCTCTGTTTCATGCTTAAACTTTTCAGAGGTGTAACGCCATAGTTCTTGGGAAGAATTATGTATGTGGGTCCTTCCCAAGAATAATGATTACATATGGCTACTTCTTCTGTATCTTGAGTTTTTAAGCTTACTTTTTTTATACTATAGCACTGATGCTGCTTGATTCAAATCTGGTACTTTGCCAGGTATGTCAATTTCAATAAATGCTTTGTGAATTGGTTAAAATGGAAATTCACTTGGGAAAACATTGCAACTTTAGTCTGTGTAATTATCTTGTTATAAGTATGTGAAAGTAAAATGCATGTGAATTTATTACATTTGCACTATAAAGGTATTTGATTAAAATAGAAAGACTTTAAGTTTTTTTTTTTTGAGTTGGAGTCTCACTCTGTCGCCCAGACTGGAGTGCAGTGGCCGCTCCCGGCCACCGCAGCCTCGACCTGCTGGGCTCCGGCGATCCTTCCGCCTCAGCCTTCCAAGTAGCTGGAACTACAGGCACGCACAACCACGCCCGGCTCATTTTGATTTATTGTAGAGATGAGGTCTCACCAAGTTGCCCAGACGGGTCGCGAACCCGCGGGCTCAGGCAGTCCACTCATCTTAGCCTCCCAAAGCACTGGGATTACAGGCTGAGCCACCGAGCCCAGCACTTTAAGATTTTAAGCCCCTTTCTTGAACAGTTTTTAGAAGTTAGCAGCCATTTTAAAATTTTTTGGACAGTCAGGGTTATCAGGCATTTAGCCAGGATGCTCCTGTTTCTTCTATAACTTTTGGTCTGACTGGTGAGCAAAATCTTTCACTCATTCAAAAATTGTCCTAAATATCTTCCTGGGTAAGACACTTGGAAGATGAGAGTCAAGTGAGGCACTGTCAAGAGATATTTTCACAAGAGGCAGTATACAAAAAACTAGAATAAAACATCAACTTCTTTCAACAAATCTTTATTGAGTGTTTGTTTTGCACCAGGCCCTGTGGGTTTTGGGGTACAACTTTAAACATAGTGAGAGGTTCTGCCATCTTGGACTTAGAGATTAGAGGAGAGAAACAGTAAATTAGTGATGTGATTCAGGAATTGGATAGAACTCAAAGGAGTGGGACCTGGGCTGGAGGGATTCATGTTAGGCTTCCTGGGGAAAGTGGTATGTAAGCCAAGAACTGTTAGTATAAGAGAATGGGAAAGTGGGAAGACATTGCTGAAGAGTAGACAAAACTATATGCCAAAGCTGGGAGATGGGAAAAAATTGCTCAGAGAAGCTGGAATGGGGAAAAGTAGACAGGGACTGAGTCATGGAGGACTTTGTAAACCCCACCAGAGTTTGGCCATTATCGTTGAGGGCAGCAGAACACAAATTATTCATAGTGCCATGAACAAATTGTACCATTGGTCACTTTGGCTGATGTGTAGAGAATGGATTTAAAGAGATACAAGGGCCAAGCCCACATGAGACTTGAAACAGAGAAGTGAAAGTGGGCATGGGAGAAATTGCCAGCTGCCAGCTTCCTAGCAATTAGAATTCTAATGTTGGCAATTATTGTGGGGGGGAGGTAGGTTTCTGAGTGATTCTGGTGTAATCTCGGTAGATGATGGCTCCATTTATTATGGTGGGAAACAGGAACAGTATTAGAAGGACAGAGGTAGTTGGTTCCCTAAAAATGGCTCATAGGCTTGGGAGTCAGACTGAGTTTGCATCCCAGCTTTGCCATTTTCTAGCTGTCAGACTGGTCAGCTGTGACCTTGGGCAAATAACTCGATGTCCTAAGCCTCAGTGTTAGTACCTAGTACATAAGAGTATTTAAAGAATACAGCTATTTTGCAAAATGCTTAACCCATTTTAAGCACAGGACAGTAGCTGCTAAACTCTATATGGGTTAAAATGAAATGAGACAGTATTCAAATGTGAGAGATGTTTAGCCAGCTTCTAGTGGAGTCTGGATTTGAGAAGTTCTTACAGAATTAAACAGATGGACCTGGAAGAGACAGGCTCAGCTGGTGTGGAGGTGGGTAGGGAAGCATGCTTGATAGAAAGTGTTGGAACTACTGTCTTTTTTTTTTTTTTTTGAGGTGGAGTCTCACTTTGTTGCCCAGACTGGAGTGCAGTGGCATCCTCCCAGCCACCACAGCCTCAAACTGCTGGACTCAGGCAATCCTTCCACCTCAGCATCCCAGTAGCTGGAACTACAGGCATGCACCACCATGCCCAGCTAATTTTTTTTCTGATTTATTGTAGAGATGAGGTCTTGCCATGTTGCCTAGGCTGGTCTCGAACCCGTAGGCTCAGGCAATCCTCTCGCCTCTGCCTCCCAAAGTGCTGGGATTAAAGGCGTAAGCCACCACGCCCAGCCGGAACCACTATCTTTTAAACCAGTGGTGAATGTCAGGGTATGGAGATAAAGTTGCTAGGGATTTGAGGGATGGTGAGGGAGATTTCACCAGTGTAAAGCAGATACCCCACTTTCCTTAATAGTAGAGGAGTCAGCTTCAGAGCCTTAAAAGTCCTGCACTTCAAAAACATTACAGTGGCCTACCACCCGCCTTATGTGAAACAAAACCAAAGCAATACTAAATTGTCAAATAAGTGTAACAAGGACCAATAAAGTTTTTATTCTTTTCTCATGATGATAACGTTGATATTAATTTAAAGTAACAAATTCTCTGCAAAAATTGAAAAGCAGTGTCTCTGCTTTGCTTGGTCATACCATAAGAATGAGTTAAGTCTTCCTATTAATATGAAACCCAGTAGGTTAAGACTTGAGTGAATTATATACATGAGCACTGAATTACATACAAATATAAGCCAGCATTTTGAGTAAGCCCAGGATCATAAAGCAGGGGAGTATTTTGAGTCACCAGATTTCATGGCGGCATCTCATTCCAGATGAGTAAGTTGGCGTTTCATTGCTGTGAATAGGCTTGTCTATCTCGGGGACTACAGAAAGAAGGCCCTGCTTTGAGGTCAGGGGCATGCTCCAGGAATCCATCCAAGGCAACAGCAGTGGCTGCCATTTTACCAGTTAAAGTTGGGGAAAAGCTTGCAGGCCCATGCTGGGTTCCTTTCCTTTCTAGGTTGGTTTTGCAAGGTACTTGGTTGGAAAGTAAAGCTTTATCTTGATAAATAGACTGTCAAAGAGCAGCCATGGACCTGGTTATCAGTATAGTTTTGTTTTTATTTTTGTTTTGTTTTTTGGCTAGTTAAGTGAAACAGTAAGAGTGGACAAGGAACAAAGAAATCTGTAACTGGTTGTGATCAATTAGTTGTAAACACCACTGCACTCAGACCAGCGTAGTACAGTTTTGATGTTATGAAACCATAAGTCATGCCTAATGTTAACCAGGACATCTTCTTGTCCAATACAAGTCCTTGCTTGATTGTATTTTTCCTTTTACACACCTATGCTATCATTGAGTACTCACATAATGAGTCATGTATTTGATCTCTGCAGATTGACAGCAGATATTAGGCTAATCCTTATTCATGGGAACTGCTGCTCATTGCTTTACTCCTGTTATATTGGTCTCTTCAGCCTGTTACCTTGGAACCCAAATCAGTCGGCCTACTCAGTGATGTCCTGATTACTGCTGGGTGATTCAAGCCAAGATGCCTTGTCCTTGGGTGAAGAATAATAATCATCACACGAATAGCTACGTGTACCAAGCACTGAACAGACATCTGTTACCCTAGTAAGGTGGTGACTATTCCCCCTGCCTCTTTTACCAACAGTTATTAGCTCAGAGAAGTTAATGACTTGCCCGTGGTTACTCAGTAAGAAGCAAAACAGAGAAACAAACCCCGGGCTGGGCTAAAGAGTTTTTTTCAATTAGACCTCATTGTCACTCTTGACCCATAAGGATTAGGAGACAACACATACTAGAGACGGCTCAGAGACATGTAGGGAGATCACCTAGAGTACTAAACTATCTGTCACTAACAAAGGAAAGTCAGTAATCACCTGAAGGCAGTAACTGATTCCTGACTAGGCTGGTACCTAGTCATGTAAGAGCATGAACATGTAGTTTAAAAACTTTTGCCCAGAAAGTGGTACCCTTTCTGGGCTCTTACTACTCACCAGCTGTAAATGTGATACAGTAATGTGAAACTTTTGTGGCCATTGATTGTAAGGATGCCAAACTAGTGAGGAATGGGCATTGAGAAAGTACTCAGTGGGGTCAAAAAAAATAGGGTCATGTAGACAAACAGCGTGCATGGGACCAGAGTTGGTCAAGGTATCCCCCAGTGGCCCTTCAAGGAGTCTGGACTTGCTTCTGGGATAAAATGTTCAGTTACAACTTGGGTCCCAGAAGTCAAGAAGCACTGCTCTGTATTTTCCAGAAGCCAGAAAACAAGCCAATTTCTGACCTTTCTTACTTTCTTACTCTGTTAAGGACTCCTAGCTTCTTTCTCTCTATGTTCTATCCGGAGGTTGGTTATTTATCTGTAGGAATAAGAGACATGCACCACCTAACTCCAGCCATCAGGAAACGGCTCGCTCCCTCAGGCTGCTGGATTTTGAATCCCATCTCCACTGCTTGGCTAGCTGTGTGTCACTAGGCATGCTACTTAACTTTTCTGTGCATTTTTTCTAGTAGGGACAGTAATACTACTTCATTAAGGTATCTGGGCTGAGCACAGTGGCTCATGCCTATAATCCCAGCACTTTGGGAGGCCAAGGCGGGAGGATTGCTTGAGCCCAGGAGTTTGAGAGAGCAGCCTGGGCAACATAGCAAGACCTCGTCCTCTACAAAAACATCCAAAAAGAATTAGCTGGATGAGGTAGCATGTGCCTGTAGTCCCAGCTACGCAGGAGGCTGAAGTGGAAGGATCGCCTGAAGGCAGCAGTGGTAAGTCATGATAGTGCCAGCCTGGGCAACGGAGTGAGACCCCAGACTCAAAAAAAAAAAGCAGGGGGGAGGGCCTGAAGGTTAAATGAGATTATGTATGAGTGTCCTTAATGTGTGTGTGCCCTGCCCACAGGAGCACTCAGGAAATTGTTAGCTGTCAGGAAAGATTCAGGCCAGGCTGAGAGGCACAACTGGGCTCAAGAGTTGAAAAGTGCATACTACCTCTCCACTGTGTAGCTAGTCTAGCCTCTCTACATAGTAGTGTCATCTAATTGCACTTGAGCTTTGGAGCAGGCAGGCCAGCATCTAAGGGATGCCTGGCACTGCTCCAGGGCGCCTCCCTGCCTCATCTAGAGGGGAAGGCTCTGCCCTGCCTGTGAGTGATAAACCTCAAACACTGACCCAAACTGCCATGTCGCAAAGAACGCCACACATATTTAACCTTACAGGGGTTTTTATTGTTTAAGACCAGTCATGCGTACTAAAATTACACATTTTCACCACTTTGACTTAGAAAATGCACTAGAAAAATAAACTTTTGGTCAAAACAAACACTGAAGTACATGAATCCACCACCAAGTATTCCTATACTCAGAGCCAAACTGAATTTCAGTTGTAAGCAAAGAATGTGACCAGTGGCTGAAATGGTGCTCCAAGCTGGCCCAGACCATCAGGGAGTGGCACAGAGGCTCTTGGTCACAGTGAAGTTTCAAGTATTTCACTTGTGACAGGTTCCTATGTGATATGCCAAGAAGCCAAGGCATAGCCACAGAAATCTACAACAGCAGCCAACCTAGCTGACTGCCTGACTCCACGTGCTGCCTGGTGAGCTGAACCAGCCAGGTGAACACAGTGAATCCATCACTGTGCCCTCCATCCATAGAGCACATTGGGCCCTCCCATGAAGCAAGCACCTATTGACTGATGTATTTTAAGCAGACCATTTCTGCAAGTCAGGAGAGCAGAAAGGAATCTACTTAAGATTTATAAATTAATAGATCCCAATACTGAGTGGAGTTACCAGAACTGAGGTCTTTCCTGAATAGTTAACATGTTTCTGTTTTGTATCTGACACTTCTTGTGGGCTATGGGACAACCACACTTAAATCATTAGTCTAGCTAACATTTTCCTCCCTAAATGAAAGGAAGTTTCAAAGGAAAACCCTAAAAGCTGAAAACTTTAAATGAGGTATTATTATAATGCTGCAACAGTACTATAACATGCTACCAGGATGAAAAAGTAATTCCATGATTGATCTGAGAGTCCAGTGGCATTCAAAGAAACTGCCCACACAAGAATTCGGAAAGGCTCAATATCTTTTAGGAATTTTGGAAAATGCCTATTATTACCCTATTTATGGAAAAACAGTATCGTGTAACCTGAAGTTTGTAAGCCTCCTGAGTGACTTTATGAAAACAGGATGAAATAAGAGAGATCTAAGCTACCTTTACCAAGAGCAAGTAAGAAACTCAAGACATGAAGCCAGGCTTGCACTTCTGGCTGTTTATATACACCATCCAGCCTCTCCCAATCAAGGTAGAACAAGATTCCAGGAAGAGGCACAATTTTCCAGAAACTTGGAAGAAGAAAACTCTCATACACCTAAACCCAACAGATTCATTTGGAAGCTGTGTAGGTACCAATTCACTCAGACCTAAATTTCCTAAATAACCCAGAGGAGAGAAAGAAAAACCTCTAAAGAGTCCAGTGTTTCTGTGGCAGTACATCTTCATCATAGAATGACTCAGGGGGGTTAAGTGGCTCAGCCAAGGCCACATGGCAAAGTAAAGCTGAACTCAGGTCTCCTGACTTAATGTCCCTTTCCCTTCCCATACCATGCTACCTGGAATTCAGGGAAAAGTTAACTTCCCGGTGTCTGTGCACATTCTTGAGGTTCTCTTGTAGACTCGTGTCTCCCCGCCAGCTGAGTAAGGCTCACCATGGACTCATCTGCAGCAGCTTTACACCAACCCCTGGAAAAGCCACAAGGAGACTGCCTTGATTTTCCCCAAGGGAGGTCCTGGTTGTACTCAGACCCCTAAGGTGCCAGAACTATCTGATCTCTCTTTGGAGCCCAAACCAAGCACAGCAGCCTTTGGGGGCAGGAGACCTGGACTCTGATCCTTACGAAGCTGGACAAAACAGCTCCTCTGGGTCCAGCTGGAAAGGCCTGGGAAGTGGCCAATTGCCCTTCTGGTCTTTGAGAGATTTCTCTAGCGAGCTTGGCAACTCCTGTATGTCACGTCACATGGACACAAGCAATTGGCCAGGAAGGCAATGTGGAATTTAAACCTCAGGAACTTGGTGGAGCTAAGTGACTGATTCCTCTGTCTAGTTTTTTGGTATGGTATTGTTTGTTTTTTATCTTTCTTCCCTCTTGGCATCTAAGAAAGCCCTAACCAGTTCTCCCCTCCAGGCTGTTGGGTGCTCAATCCTCCACTTTAGTCAGCACGCTTGCCCACTTAGGCCTTTTGAGCAATGCTGGTGACATCGCTGTCAGAGGGAACCAGAGGCAGCCAGGGTGTGCATTTTGGCACTTGTAGCTCAGCCATGACTTTAGAGGATCCAGGGTTAGTATCCACTGCGAAAAGAACTTTCTCTAGGCTTGGCATTAATGAGGCAAGCAAATTAATTTCTACCAACAATTTCTCCAGACGTTTGTAAAAGTGCTGTAAAGATAAACAGCCAAGTAACAGACTGGTCTTGAATTTCAGAGCACTGTTCTCTCCCTAATTGAGCCATCAGCCGCCTGCTTATCTAATATATGCATGGAAGAAGTACACGTACAACACATGGTACTTGTCATCACTTAACATCATAACCACGTGGAATGAATACAAAAGGAAACAGGTCAAATGCCATCATGTGGAACAAGTAATTGATGCTTGGGCTAATGCTAAACTCTTGATGGGAGTGTCTGAAGTGCCGAAATGCAGAACTGACATTCAGGCTGGCTGGTCCACCCACCAGAGAGACTTGGGTGTGCCTGAGAGGGCAGGGGCCCCAGAAGCGTCCCTGTAATAACCTGTCCTTGTCTTTGTTTCCAGAGACCAAAATTTAAGAATTCCATGTAATACAACCACCATGGCCAGGTTTACAATATACTGCCAGAGTCTTGGGGGTGGAGAGAATTCATGTAAGATCCTGGTCACCTCGCTTGGCCTCACAAAAGTCATTCCTTTAAAGTTTAACCATCACTATAGAAAGGAAATTGATATCACGGAGTCCCATCAACACACATCCTAGTTTAAAGGCAGGGCCAAATGGTGACACAACCCTCTTGGAAAGGCCCAAGTGTACCACAGAAACCAGGATCCATTCACTTGTATCTAGATAGTCATCTTCTGAGGCAAAAAATCTAACATTCAGTAACTAAACCAGATCCCAGAACCTCCATAGCCAAAAGGGCCCAAGACATCATTTCTTCCAGCTTCATTTTACAAGTGAGAAAGCCGAGGCCCACTGAGGCCTACGTCTCATCCCCTTAAGTTGTACCCTGGGGTCCAGGTCTCTGATTCCTAGGCCAGAATTCCTTAAGCTACACAGGCCTGGAATCGAGCATTTTAGGTTGAGTAAAATCAAATACTTCTAGGACCCTGAATGAGTCTATTGAGAACCAGGGCTAAGGCTTTATGGGTTTGGGAAAACTTAAGTTTCTATTGCAAGATTCAACCAGTGAATCCCAGAGGTGCTCTGAAGTCTCTGGCTTCCAGATTTGATCAGGTGCTCTGAAGTCTTTGGCTTCCAGATTTGATCAGGAAGTGCTGCTTATGTCCTGATGCTGCATCGTTTAGTTAAGGTACTTTCCAAACCCAGTGATGGCAGCTGGGGACTGGACCTTAAACCTGAAGTTTCCTGATGCGCACCAGAGGCCTATAGTGAAAGACACAGACTCCTAACATCTCATATTTGGCTACCTTTAGGGTTTGGCCAAATTGTCTCATAGGAGTAGTGATGACTGGTTGTCTTCTCCTGGAAAGTGGGATCAAAGTGACTTTGGTCCTAATCTTGCTTCCAAGGCAATGTAAGAAACCAGATATTTAAAAAAAAAAAGACCAGATGCAGCTTCCAGATTAACAGTTGCTGCAAACTGGGATTCCAGATGTTTGGGAATCACAGAGAACATGTTCCATGTCTTCCATGATGTAATTCAAGTCACCAAAGGCTTATCCCGAGGTGGGCTTCCCCTTAAGGCTGTTCCTTCATGCTGCAGGTTAATTACAAGCAGTGAGACTGAATCCTTGGCACCTTAAATTCTTCTTGTGCCTCTCCAGAGGAAAAAAAGAAAGGATTTAAAGATGTTGACACATAGCCTGGGCAACACAGTGACAGTCCATCTCTACAAAAATTAAAAATAAAAAAAATTAGCTAGGCATGGTGGCACACACCTGTAGTCCCAGCTACTCAGGAGGCTGAGGCTCCCTTGCACCCAGGAAGTCAAGTCTGCAGTGAGCCATGATAGTGCCACTGCACTCCAGCCTGGGTGACAAAGGGAGACCCTATGTCAAAAAAAATAAAAGATAGTAAAGATAGTGACACAGGACTAGTTAATAGCAGGAGTACAGCTGTGATTTCACAGCTCGCATAGAGTCATCACACTGCGCATCCGAGGTCAGTCCCTCAGGCAGCAGTGCTTGGCCCAGGATGCTGTCGCAGGCAGGGAGAGGCTGGCAGAACTCCTTCACAAAGTCGTCCTCTGAGGCTAGCAGCACCGCGTTCCAGGTGGCAGTGTCCAGCTCCCCGGCCGTGCCCCCATACTCCTTGGGGAGAATGTTTCGTGGAAGGCTTGTGTGGAGAGAGCTCAAGTCAGATCCATGGAGGAAGAACTAAGAGAATGAAATGAACACACATGTCCTTGGGTTAATCAGTCATTCAGAAATCACTTTCCTGGCAGGTGCTCAAATAACTATCTGATTAATGAAGAAAGGAAAGGTTAACGGCAACTCTACCCTTCCAGTTCCCCAGCCAAGAGAGCTTACAGTATCCTTAATTCTGTTTTCCTTACCACATACCCTGTTGGCTAGACTTTCAAAATACATCCAGGGCCAAGTGTGGTGGCTCACACTTGTAATCCCAGCACTTTGGATAGCCATGGCAGGAGGATCACTTAAGCCCAGGAGATCGAGACCAGCCTGCACAACACAGAACTCATCTCTACTTAAAAAGAAAAAGAAAAATCACAAAATTAGGTGGGCATGGTAGTGTGCGCCTGAGATGGGAGGATCGCCTGAGCCTAGGAGGTCAAGGCTGTGGTGAGCCGTGATGGTGCCACTGCACTCCAGCCTGGGTGACAGAGACTCCGACTCAAAAACAACAGCAACAACAAAACAAGCGCTGCATTGGTAAAGGTTCTAAACAGAATCTCTAGGTACCAAAAAGGGGTCACACCCAGGCACCACTAAATTAGTGGTCTGTAAACCGAGCTGTGCCTCAGAATGACCTAGAGAGTTTAAAAGCATAGATCCCTGGGTTCCGCCCAGAGCTAATGAATCAAAATCTTTAGGAACAGGGCCTAGGAATCCAGATTTGGATTTTAATTCCCTCTCTTGCAAATATGTGACTATTTCTATATGCTTCTTCCTTGAAAAATACATGAAGTCGAGTGCGGTGGCTCATCCCTGTAATTCCAGCACTTTGGGAGGCGGAAGCGAGTGAACTGCCTGAGACCAGGGGTTCATGATCAGCCCAGGCAACTTGTCGAGACCTCGTCTCTACATTAAATCAAGAAAAATTAGCCAGGTGTGGTGGTGCATGCCTGTAGTTCCAGCTACTTGGAAGGCTGAAGCAGAAGGATTGCCTGAGCCCAGCAGGTTGAGGCTGCAGTCACCGTGAGCATGCCTCTGCACTCCAGCCTAGGTGACAGAGTGAGACTCTGACTCAAAAAAAAAAAAGAAAAAGAAAAACACATGAAATGCAGGGCCCTGTTACTGGGGTGACCTCTTCTGGCCTAGGGAAGGAGGAGAATACACACCTCCCATTCCAACAGTAGTAAGGGGGCAGGCTCGGAGAGAAACGGCTCTTGTTCTGGGTCAGAAGGGAGAACTAGCTTTTAAAGCGTCATTTACCCCTCTTCAACAAGAGGTAAGGCTAAAAACTCACATAGTTCATGAGCCTTGACTTGCTCCACAAGCCTTACACAGTGAGACAACATGTTAGATAAAAGGAAGGCTTATGTAGCATTTTAAAATCTGAAGGTTCTGCAGACAAAAATGACCATTAACTCATTTATTTTTGGCTTTCAGGTTTTTTGAGAGGGTCTTGCTCTGTTGCCCAGGCTGGAGTACAATGGCATGATTATGGCTCACTGCAGCCTTGAATTTCTGGGCTCATGGGGTCCTCCTGCCTCAACCGCCCAAGGAGTTGAGCCATAGCTCTTTGAAGCTACCTGCTGGTGGCTACCTGTCACTCTTCTTTTCTTCCACGTCTTCGTACACATAAAGTGCAGTGTGGGTTCACGGTGCCCAAGTCAGGATACCACAAAGGCAAGTGACCATACAACAGAGAGGCGCTTACAAGAGTGATCCTGGCTCTGCTCTCTCTACTGGCAAATATCACAGTCTTATTAATTTCGTCTACCCTCACAGATAGGATTGTTCATTTATTGTATCTATAACACTATACTTCCAAATTAGCAGTCCTGGCAAAAATAATCAACTAAGTATTAGATGTCATAAATAAGTCAAGGGAGGAAAAAACAAATCTCTGAAGTCAACAGGATTAGCACTTACTCTGTTTGCGATTTTCTCCTTCAGAAATGGTTTGATGATGGCAAAAATGCCTTTAAATATTCGAGGCTCATTCACAACATGGACTGCCTTTATCCGAATGGGGAAGCCATCCTGTGGGGGAAGGGATGGAGTGTTAGACTATCTGCAGTGTCCTGCACCGGCCTCCCCCAGTTAAGTCTGCATCTTCAGCCCCAACATCAGCCTGGTCTAATCTGCATGGTCTCCTCAAGGACCGCTCATGTGGGGGCTACACAGGAAGATGAGCCTCAGGGACAGCCTTTCCTGTGACCTCAAACTGGGTTAGAAGAGAGGCAGGCAAGCACGTGGAGAGCTGCTCTTCCCATAGCAAAAATTGTCCAAGTCTACGTGGACCGACCTGGCAACAATCAGGCCTTCTAGATAAGTGTTGCCCATAGCTTATTACTCAGGATGTTACTAGATGTGATACAAAAAAGGGTTCCATGGCAGGTAAATAAGTTTGAATAGTATCATCGACTAAATATAATCAAATGGGTTTCCTTAACTGCAGCCCTTTTCAGAGCCTTTAATATGTAAACGTTTATGGTGAAATTCACAAGAAAGGGACATGCTATACCACATTTTCCAAATATACTTAACCCTGGAACATTTTTCCCCTCCAGGTGATCTTACAGCACTAGGAAAACGCTGATCTAAACTCTTTATCCTGACACTTGAATCTACATGGTTATTCGGCAGGGGCATCAAAAAAGTGCAAGCCGAGGAAAGCCAGAGTATTGGCTCAAAGCCAGAATTAAATTTATGATGATACCCAAATATGCATTGGCTTGATTAAAGAATTACCCTAGTGCACCATAGGGGCTCAAACACATCTGTGGAATTCAGTTATATACGGTGCCTCATTGTTCACAAGAGATAGCCCCCGTGTGGTGGGTCAGGATCAACAATCAATCAACACCTGTTACAGCTGTGAGCCTGGTAAGTTACATCTTCTCTAGGTCTGTTTCCCCATCTATCAGAAAGGAACAATAATTCTTGCCTGGCTTATCCCAGAGGATTCCTTGAAGGAGTGAATGGGTTCTGATGACTGTAAAAGTGCTCTGCAATCTGTTAAGCACTGTTCGGACATTGTTCTGACCAAGAGACAGTCCTACAGAGCTCCATGCCCTGGCACCACAAGGGCAGGAGGGCCTCCAACACCTTAGGCAGAAGAACGATTTCTCAGTTTTGTTTGTGAGAAAATTCCTCCTCCTCTCACTTCTGGACAAAAAAAGCAGAAAGCATTTCCCTGGTTTTTTGAACTCTTGCCCTAATACTGAAGTATTTTCTCCAGAAAGTACTAGAGATCCTGAGGAGAATGAATGGTAAACAGGACTTATACATTTCTTTCTGTGATGCTTTTGTGTTTTTCTGACTGCAGGAGTGGGCTGTGGAGTCTGCGTATCACATGCAACCAGCAGCAGATGAATAGTCCTGGGGAGAGCCCAGGTGACTACAGACAGGCACACGACAGACAGGGCCATACCTGGAGGATGCCAATCACCTTTTTGGCTATAAAAGGGCCAAAATGAGATGCTTTTGATAAGCTCACTCCTTTGTAGTCGGCAAGAATGACAATTCCATTCACCTGGGTTTCTTCAGACTGAATGAGTTTTTCCAGTGTCAAGTATATGGCTCGGATGTTTTCGGTGATTGGATAGTTGCTTGGTATCCATCTGTCTAAGGTCATAAGAGAAAGGCAGGATATTAAACATGAATATGAGTATGTGATCAGACAAAGGTTAGGTTCCCTTATAAAACTGCTGCTTCAAAATCGGGAAGAAAGGCATTCTGGTGGCCATGATTCTATTTAGGTTACTAAATGAAACACTTTAAGTGGCAGCTGATGTTTCTTATCCCAAACACAGCAGCACATTCTGAAATGGAAAGGCAATGGAGCGTTGAGGTGAAAAGCATGAGCTCTGAAGTCAGACACACCTGGGGCTTTGAATCTTGCTGGCTGTGTGACCTTGGGCAAGTTACTTCCTCACTCTGGGCCTCTGTCTCCTCATCAGTAGAAAAGATAACAGTATCCACCTTTGTGGACATCTGTGCTTTCCGCCATCAGATAGTTCCCCTCATCTTCATAACACCAACTTAATTTTCCTCAGAAAGCCCCTCCTTCCACTCTAGCTGTGCAGTCTTGATAGCACTGATTTGACCCCTAACTCCAGAGTGTGCAAGGGACTGGGGAGTGACTGGCCAAAGTGACATCAATCCTCCTGGTCAAGGTGTGTGATCTGAGTCAGGTCAAGCAGAACCAAAGAGACTCCATTTTGGGACTCAGCCCTTTGGAGAGAGCTTTCTCTTCCCTCTCATAGCTGTGACTCTGTGAGCCTAGGATTCAGGGGCCCTGCAAGGTGAGAGCTGGCCTGAGAAAGAAACCCACGCTGGGGCCAGCATGATAGAGACAGCATTCCAGTGCTGTAGAGTGAGCCCCAGAATCCAGCTGTGCCCACACTTCAGTCAGCTGAAGACTGAGTTCTCTTTTGATGTTCCAGCTAAGCTGAGTTGGCTTCCTGTCACTTGCCACCGAAAGAGCAGGTCCTGGCTCAGACACCACCTTCAGGAGAGGGGGCATTGTGAGGATGGAGCACAATGTTCCAGGAGACCCCTCATTTTTATTGTTAACCAGTATTGTCAAGAAAATCCCAACAAAATCTGTGTGTCCCTTTCTTAGAAAAATAAAGCTTCACGTTTGCCACCAATGAGATATGTAATATGTGTAAATTTTCTATGAAAAATCTTGGCCCAGCAATTGGGCCAGCTTGCTGTTGAATGTTGCCCTCTCAGTCACATGTCTCAAAAGAGCTTTGGAAAGGCAAAGCTGACACCCAGCTAAGAACAAATCCTCCTGTGTCTCTGCCTCTTCCTCCTAAAAAGTTGAGTCAGTGGGGGGGGGGGTTCCAGAGCTGCTCTAGATCCGAGGAAAAAGTTCATCTCACAAGCAAACCATACATGCCAAGGTGCAACCTGTATATGGTAATACCTGACTCTTGAAATATTCTTCTGAGTTGAGTACCGAGGAACAGTAGAAAACTCTGCTGACTAGTTTCTAGGTCTCTGGGTGCCCTGAGGTCTGTGCTGAATTGCTTATTTTTAAAAGAAACACCTTTAATTTTGGAAAGTGCCTAAAACAGCAGGTAGAGCTGTTCACACTGTGCCAGATACACAGCACAGGCTGAAGAGTATGGACTAGTCTCCAAGACTGGGGAATGACTAACGGCAGAGGGTCGTGCGTGGAGATGTCCGTTCCCCATCGGGCTTTCCTCCAAGAGGCGTCTGCGCATGAGCACAAGGGGGCTGGCGGCATATTCTCCACCCCCACCCAACCTCCTGGTTTGCTGGGAAGAACACTAGAACACTGCATCTTTCATTGTGCTGTCAGTTCTGGTCTGATGGAAGATGTTGAGGCTGGGGGTGGAGAGCAGAACATTCCTAAACTGATGATGCATTTGGTATCATGAAGAGAGCAGGATTAGTCATTATGTCTAAGCACTCTTTGGGGAGCACTTATAAATGCTCTTTTGGGAGAGGTGGCCAGGAGTTGCCCCCAATCGCAAACTGCCATGCCAAAAAAATATAACACGGTATCCCGATCTCTACCATGAAGTGCTAAGATCAAAACATTAATCCAGCGTGAATCCTGTCAGACTTAGCAGAGGAAAGGAAGAAAAGGCTGGAGGAGGCATGGACCTTTCAGGCCTCTGCCCAACCCACATCCTTTTGCTGATGCCTGGACATCAATCTATTCACAAAGGAAGGCCAGAAGGGTCCTGGCAGCCATGCATGTTTCCTATGACCAGGGGCAGATTCCTCAAGCCCACCAGAATCTCTTCCCCAGAAATCTGGAATCTGTAAAAGGGAATTTAATTGGGTGGTCAGGCAGACCTGAGAGCTGAGGAGTGCCAGAGCGAGCTGTGTGCACAGGGGTGCCAGAAGCCAGTCTACAGAAGAACAAGTAGGAAGAAGGTATGCAGAAGGCCCAGAGGACACACAACTGTCAGGCAGAGGTAGAGACAGGGAGATGCTGGCTCTTGGTCTGGGGCCTGGTTAATGGCTGCTGTACCTTCAGTCCTCTGTTCTGGAGACAAGCCTGACTCCTTAGACTAAACCCTTCCTTTGAAGTCTGTTTGAGTAGGTTTTTGTCATCTGCAATCAAAAGTCTCGACTCCAACAAGGAGGGGTGCAACAGGAACAGGAAAGGACAGACGCATCCCAGAGAGACCGCACACACACCCCACGCAGTCTAGGAAAATACCTGGGCGGATGCAGAGGACGTGGCAGCCACGGGGGTCAGTGTGGGGCAGTACGGTGAGGAACCCGGAGGCGAGGACATCTTTTAAGGCTGATGGCTTCAGGTTGTTGAAGACTTCGGGCCAGCTTCTCCTGCAGCTGTGGTAGTTGACCAGGAGCTGCAGGGCCCGGTCGTAATCAAACTTGCGGGCTCGGAGGAAGCGCAGCAGGAAGGCGTCGTCGAGGGACGTGCTCAGGTTCGGGTACTCCTTCCGCACCATGTCACGAAGGGCCTGCACATCCCGGAGTCTCCATTCCGGCTTCTCCTGAAGCTCTTCCCGGGCTTTGGTGACCAGATCTTCAGTCAGCGAGCACACGTAGCCAGGAGGCTCGGGGGGTGGCGGCAGGTCATTTTCGGAGAGTGAGGCCACGGAAGGGCTGGTTCGCAGAGAGTCACTTTCTTCTGACATTAGCTACCAGGATCCCTGCCAACATGGACGCCCCAAGTGAAGTTAAGAAATCTTAGTGTGCTCATTTCAAACCCCAAGGCATCATGACGCAGGGGATGGGAATATTTTGTCAAAGTCAAGTAACCTCAGAGCAGTGTTTCTCAGCCTGTGAAATGAACTGGATCTGAACCACACATGCAGGTCTGACCCCAGACTGATTGCAGTTAGTCTCCAGGGAGACACCCCAGAGGTCTAGGGTGCACCTAGTTGGACTCCCACCCCATCCACTGCTGCCAGAGTGACCAGGTCACTTCTCCAAATCTTAGGTTTGTCCACTCCGTTCCCTGCATTCCAACTTCAGCTCTACCCAGCTTCCTCCACTTCCTTCCAAAAGTGTCCTCTCCTGTCTTGTTTCCTCCGACTAGCATGCTCTTTCTCCAGTTCTTCACCTGACCAACACCGATTAAATGCCACTTCATTCATTCACAGTCCCTTCAAACACCATGGCCTTGCTTACACATGCATGATTAGGTGCCCAACCTACTCATCATTAAATAAGTGTTCATTTTAAAAGGCTGAGATTCCAACAGGTACTCTGATATGCTTACTGCTGGTGGGAGTACAAATTGAAGGCCTCCTTGGAGGGCAGTTTGTCAATATCAAAATTTAAAACTATATGCCCTTTGGGTCAGCAATTTCATTTCCAGGACAGATACTTGTATGTATATGCAAAACATGCAGACAGCCATTACAAGTATTGACTATAATGAGAAAAGACTGGGGCTGGGTGCGGTGGCTTCACACCTATAATTTCAGTGCTTTGGGAGGCTGCAGCAGGAGGGTCACTTGAGGCCAAGCATTCAAGACAAGACCTTGTCTTTGCAAAAAATTTTAAAATTAACCAGGTGTGGTGGCATGCACCTGTAGTCCTAACTATTCAGGAGTCTGAAGTGGAAGGATCACCTGAGCCCAGGAGTTGGGAGGCTGTGGTGAGCTTTGATCACACCACTGCATTCCAGCCTGGAAGACAGAACAAGATTCTATCTCAAAAAAAAAAAAACACCTTAGCTGCAGATCAAGAGACTGGTTAAATAATATTACCATAGGAATGGGGACATTCCTGTCCCCAGTGAGGCAGATCCTTATGAACTAATATGTTAAGAAAAAAAGCAAGTTGAAGGACAGTGTGAAGAAAGATAATCACATTTATATTTTTAAAATACCCACATATATGCTTACGAATGCACAACAAATTCCTGGAAGGAGATATAAGAAATTGTTACCAATGGTTACCTCTATGGAACAGAACTCGACAATGAGCATTTGAGAGACTTTTACCATACTGCTCAATTTTTTACAACATATTCAATTAACTTATCATGGTAGTCATGACAACGCTCTGGACGGATCTGCTGCTGCAAAAACATAACTGACAAATGGTCCCGCTGCTGTCCCTCTGAATCCACATCCAGGGGATGCCACACTTTCCACAGACCACTCCCAACCAGTGATCAGATGGGACATGGGACTCCTCTCACAGGCAACTTTGCTTGAGGATTCCCTGTTGGCCTGGCCAAACCTTTCTTGGGACTGCACTGCAGTGGGAGACACTTTCTGCCCAGGCCCATCATGGGGCCTAACCTGCATCACTGCTGAAGAATCTTCTGACCTCTCTGCTCCTTTTGCCTTTGTCCTTCACAGGTGCTGCTTCCAAACTGCACATCTAATCTTATCCTAGTGTCTGGTTCTTGGAAGACCTGAACTAAGGATATATACACAGTCATTATACACAGTCATTACAAGTATTGATTATAATGATAAAAGATTGGAGCTTGGTACAGTGGCTTCATACCTATAATTCCAATGCTTTGGGAGGCTGAGACAGGAGGTTCACTTAAGGCCAGGAGTTCACGACAAGCCTGGCAATATAGCGAGACCTCATCTCTGCACTTAACTGAATGAAACAAACAAACAAAACAGCTGCCCTAGATATTCCAGAAATAAAGTTACAGCAGGACCGCCCATCTCCAAGGCCCAAGCTCTTGTCCACAGGCTGTCACTGGCTCTCCAGCCCAAGTTGACCAAGGACAGCAGGGATCATCTCAGAGGTCCCTGCACATACCTTTGATGTCCTGACTGCACCTCGTTGGATTCCCGCCCCATTCACTGCTGCCAGAGTGACTAGGTCACTTTTCTAAAACTTAGGTCTGTCCACTCAATTTCCTGCATTCCAACTTCAGCTCTACCCAGCTTCCTCCACTTTCTTCCAGAAGTGTCCTCTCCTGTCCTGTGCACATCTTGTTTCCTCTGACTAGAATGCTTTTCCTCTAGTTCCTCACCTGACCAACACCGATTAAATGCCGCTTCATTCATTCAGCAAATATTGAGCGCTTATGATATATGAGACTCCCTCCTTAAGCTCTGATTAAATGCCACTTCAGTCATTCAACAAATATTGAGCACTTACAATATGCCCAACCCTCTTCTAGGTATTAGGAATATGGAAGTGAACCAAAAAATCCTTCCTTCATTGAGCTTAGACTCTAGTGGGGCAGAAAGACTATAAGCAAAATAAGCCATACGGTCTACTACATGGTGGTAAGTACCAGAAACAAAGCAAGGAAGGGGCTGGATGCACTTGGGGAGAGGGGTGAGGTGGTCAGGTAAGGCCTCACCCAAGTAATAGTTAATCAAAGACCAAAGAGGACAGGAAACAAGTCTTGCACATATGGGGAAGAACAAGTGAAAAGCCTGAAGCAAGAACATCTGAGGCCTTTTGAGGAACAGCAGAGAGGCCCGTGTGGCTCGAGCCAAAAGAGCAGGTAGAGAATATCAGGAGATGAACTCAAGAGTCTTCTGGGAGTCCCAAGGCCAGGGCTCTGTGGCCAGCAAGCACTATCACTTGGACTCTGAGTGAGGTGGGTGCCATGAAGGGTTTTGAGACAAGTGACATGACCTTATTTGTATTTTAAAAGGATCACTGTTTGGGTGCTGTGGCTCACGCCTGTTATCCCAATACTTTGGAAGGCTGAGGCGGGAGGACTGCTTGGGCCCGGGAGTTTAAGAACAGCCTGGGAAACATAGCAAGACTTCATCTCTTAAAAAAAAAAATCCATTGCTTTTCAGCCTTTTTGGCTAAGATCAAGTGTAGTTTTTTAAAAAATCCAAAAATTAGCCAGAGTAGTGGTGTGCACCTGTAGTCCCAGTTACTTGGGAGGCTAAGGCAGAAGGATTACCTGAGACCAAGAGGCTGAGGCTGCAGTAAGCCATGATCATACCTCTGCACCCCAGCCTGGACAACAGAGTGAGACCTCAACTCAAAAAACAAACAAAAAAAACAGATAAAAGGATTATTTTGCTGTCTTGAGAATGGACTGTAAGGAGCAGAGGACAGGAACAGAGACCATTTAGAAGCTATTGTGATCAAGTGATCATCCAGGCAAGAGACAATGGTGGCATGAAGCAGGCAGCCTTCACTGACCCCATGCTAGGTTAGGGGCCTCCCCCATGGGAGGTCTTTGGCATAGCACTTCTGCTCTGCTGTAATTGACTGGAGGCAATTTGAACAGCACGTCTGTCATGTTCATCACAAACCCGGCACCTAACATGGTGTCAGACACATATTCTGCACCCCATAAATATTTGTTGGATGAGCTGAATCTGCTTGGCAGAGGTATGATGAGCAAGGAATGGAACAACAAGCGTGGATCTTCCCACAGACATTACAAATGCCCAGAACCCCTACCTAGTGTTTACCTGGGAGATAAACTGCAGTGTCCACGAGCTACAGCTTCATCTCCAGGCCCGTCTTCAGCTTCGTTTCCCACCTCTCCCCATCCCAATGCACATTAAGTGCCAGCCAAAACAAACCAATGACCCATTATTCTCGGAACACCACGTACACTTCTGATATCCTCTACCTGTAATTTCCTCATTTGTTCCACCAGACAACTCATCATTTTCAAGGCCCAGCAGCAATGTCACCTCCTCTGTGAAGGCTTCCCTAAGTCCCTCAACTTGATTCCAGTTTCCCAGAGTACTGGGTTCCTATTTCTTTTAGAAACTGCAGTCCAGGATCATGGGTATTTACATAAAATTCCTGACTCTGATTCACCCATTCGAGTATCAAATAATTACTGATCACCTATCCTGCCAGACACTGTGCTCACAGGTACCGGGGACACAGCAGCAAACAATATAATTCTTTGCCTTATGACACTTAACATCATAGTGGAATGATGAAAAGATCGTGTGTACCTGAGCGTTCCACCATGTATCAAGCACTGTGCTAAGCTTCCTCCATTTTCTCGTTTAATCTTCCCAATACTTGGTGAGAGAATTATTACTGTTCCCATCATACAATGGGGGAAACTGTCCCCTAGAATATAAAGTCTACCAGGCCAGAGAACTTGCCGGCCATGTTCACTGTTACCCTCAGAGCCTGGCACATGGCAGTGCTCTGTAAATATCAGCGGAAGACAAGAGGTTAAGTGATGCGCCCACCCAAGGGCACACACCTAGGGAAGCAGAGCAAGAATGCGTCTGGCCCCACCCTGGCTCCTAATCTCTACCCTCCACCTGGAGCTTCACGTTCACTCTCCAGGGCCTTTGCAGGGTTCAGTCCCAGTCCGGTGAAGGAGTTGTTGGGTGGGCATATGGGTGGGATGCGAGCACCATTCGGAAGGGTGAAGCCGGAAACCCTCCCCACCTGGAGCCACCGTTCTGTGGAGCATCACCTTCTCTCCCCGCCCCACCCCCCAACAAGGGAGGGTCAGGAAGCCATCCTTTCTGGAGCCCTAGAGACCCCACATCCCGTCGACAACCTTCCGAGGCCCCCACTTCCGGTTGTCACCCCCTACCCAGGTGTCCCCATTTCCTGGGGTCTCTCGCTCCTCTGGTCCCCACTTCCGGTTATCCCTCCCTCTCAGGGGTCCTGCTCCTGGGCTCCCAGGGCACAGGGACGGGCTCTTGGGCACTCACCGGCCCGGCCGCGGGGCGGAGCGCGGGTCAATCAGCGGCGGGAGCCTCGTCCGGCAGCGCGCACAGAACCGACCCACACTCCCTGCCCGGCCGGCCCGGCCCTCGCGCCGGAAGTGACGTAACAGGGCGTGAGACGGCGGGTCGCCGCCCGGGAGCGCGCACGCGCAGCGTCTCGCCGCAGTGCCGCGTTCTGTCTCCACCTGGCGGTCAGGACTCCAGAGTCGTGGGACCTGGCGTGGTTGGGAGGAACTGGAATCCCGAGCAGTTTAGCAAACCCAGTTATAGATGGGGAAACTGAGGTCCAGAGGAGCAGGGAAAGAAGCTGCCATTTTCCCACGTGCCTGGTGTTTTACATCCGCTATCTCATTCAATACCCTTTATGCAATTCCCTGTTTCATGAAGGGGAAACTGGCCATCAATGCAGTCAAGGACTTAAAACCCAGACCAAAGGATTCGCATTATAGAATTCCTCCTTTTATAATTGATATCAGGACTGGCTGCACTAAAGGGGGAGATTCCAAACCAGGGGACGTCTGTCTCGTTAGCCGAGTGATCTTGGACAAGTCTCCATTCCTCTGTGAGCCTGGGTTTCCTCACCTGTAACATGATTCTTGCTCTGGATCCTGATTCAGTAATTACTTTTTTCCCACTTTGGAGTTCATGAAGTTACCTCCAGGCAAAGGCTTTACTAGCTCCCAACCCCCAACATTTTGTGCAACTGCAATTTAGACAAACCTCCTGGGTCCCTCTGTCAAGCACAGCGGAAACACTAAACCATTTTAGAAATTCTAGTCATCTAGGAGACTCTGAGCCCGAAGAGAGATTTTTTTTTTTTTTTTGAGTCGGAGTCTCAATCTATCCGCCCAGACTGGAGTGCAGTGGCCACTCCCGACCACCGCAGCCTCGACCTGCTGGGCTCCGGCGATCCTTCCGCCTCAGCCTTCCAAGTAGCCGGAATTACGGGCATGCGCTACCACGCCTGGCTGATTTTTTGATTTATTGTAGAGATGAGGTCTCGCTGCCCAGGCGGGTCTCGAACCCGCGGACTCAGGCAATCCACTCACCTCAGCCTCCCAAAGGCGAGGGATTACAGGCTCAGCCACTGAGCCTGGCTCAAAGAGGGATCTAAAGCAATCTCCTCCTTTCCCTATCCCGGGGCAAGAGAAGTCCTAGAGAAATGGGAAGTGATCCAATAGGGCCACCAGGGAGCTCGGCAGTTTCTGCCAGATGCTAGATTAGGGGGAGGGAAACTGTGAAGATAAGCCTGGAGGTTCTGAGTTTTGACTCCATTGTCAGCTTCATTATTTGTAGGGCTGACAGATAAAATATAGAACACTCAGTTACATGTGAATTTCAGATAAGCAACAATTTATTTTAAGTATAAATCTGTCCAAGCATAGACTTATACTTTAAAATTTGTTGTTTATCAGAAATTAAAATATAACTGAGTGTCCTGGCTTTTGTTTTGTTTGCTAAATAAATCTATGTATTAACAGCATAAATGTATTATCCTACAGTTCTGTAGGTCAGAAGTCTAAAATCAAGATGTTGGCAAGGTTATATTCTCTCTGGGAGCATCAGGAGGTATCCATTTTCCTTGCTCTTTTTCGGTTTGTAGCGGCCACCTGCATTTCTTGGCTCACAGCACCTTCTTTAAATCACTTCAACCCCTCACTTCTGTTGTCACATCTACTATTGACTCTGAGCCTCCTGCTTCCCTCTTCTTATAAGGACTCTTGTGATTACACTAGGCCCACATAGATAATCTGGGATAATCTTACCACCTCAGGAACCTTAAATTAATCACATCTATGAAATCCTTTTCATCACGTAAGGTGAAATATTCACAGATTTCAGAGATTAGCATGAGGACATTTTAGCAAGGGGGATGATATTTCAACCTACCCAAATCTGGCAACCCAAATCCTGACCATGTGACTTTGGCCAAGTCACTCAAACTCTCAAAGCTTGTAGTTCCCCATAAGCAAAAAGCTGATCAAATGAATTCAGGATTAAATGAATTCAGAGTATGGTGGCACACGCCTGTAATCCCAGCCTCTCAGGAGGCTAAGGCAGGAAGATTGCTTGAGCCCAAGAGTTGGAGGCCGCAGTGAGTTATGATCATGCCACTGGACAACAGAGTGAGAACTTGTCTCTAAAAAAAATAAAAATAATTTTTAAAAAATCACAAGAGAGGAAACAACTTTCCCCATGCTGGGCAGACAGTAAGTGCTTAATAAATGGCAACTCTTGTAACAAAGAGAAAGGAAACCCCTTTCCTCAACCCAAACCCAAGATTTACTGATGTCCTCAGAGCCCAGATTGCAATGCTAGGTGCTACCAGCAGGGGAGGAACCTGACCTCGAAGGCAGGGCAGAGCTGGGAGAGAATTCAGAGATGCCCCAGAAGTTCCTGCCCCAACCCTCAACTGAGGGCCATTATTTTTTGTTCCTGGTGTTACATTTTAGAGGACCAAGTTATTTCAGGATTAGAAGGTCTCAGATAAATAATGACACCCAAAATGCCTGTCTTTTGAGTGATATACCAGGGTCTGTGCTTGTGTGATCTCAATTGTGCCAGTGAACAGAGGCTAGGATTGTCTCATTTATAGATGAGGAAACTAAAATCCAGAAAGAGAAAATCACCTGTCAAAGGACCCAAGATATTCAATGAAACAGCTAGATTTGAACTCAAGTCTGTAAGACACCACAGTCTCAATTTTCACTTTGCCGTAAAGGTCATGTAGACCTGCCTATTTGTTTTTACAGGTTGGGCAACTAGTTCAGAGGACATAAAAGTGCCCACAATCACATAACAACGGAGTGTTGGAGCTGAGATTATTGACTTCTGCCTTCTTTTCTACCTGCCAAGGTGATGAAGTCTTTGCATGGATAATCTCATTTAATTGTCAATAACATAATCCTGAAGAAACGGTGACCAGCAGAAGCAGGGAGTAGAAAGCCATCGAGGAATCTACATTGGGCATCTTCTCTGTACCATGCATGAAAGCAGGTTCTCTCACAAACATATCTCCTCTGTCACTAACTATGTGATCATAAGCAGATAATCTCCCTGGGGCTCAGTTTCCTCATCTGTAAAAATGGTAGCAGTTGGGGAATTCTGGGAAGATGGAGGTGATGATATCTAGCATAGATTTGAATCGTTCCATCTCCCCAAATAAAAACAGAAACACAATTTCACGAACACATAAACAACAAAACTAGGTGACAAGATATCTTCATGAACTCCAAAAAACAAGTGAATGGGGACAGACCACCCACAACTACCAAACTGTATGCCATCGGCGTCTGTGAGGAATAGGAGAGAAGCAGTGGTCTACAGACCTGAGAAGCAAAGAACCCCAAAACTGCAATATATATTCACACATTGCCAGGAAAGCATGGTGGGGTGGTTTGAGAAGAACAGCTGAGACTGGGAAAGGTTTCACCAGCTCCAGTAGCAGGTGAGTATTAGGCATTGGCCCTAAACCTGAGGAATAAAGGATTTAATCTCTATGAATTCTTGAAATGACCACCCTGTTTTCCTTCCAGAATATCCTCCATGCTGAGCAGAAACTACTCTGAAGGGAATCATAATCAAACAATATATGGCTGGGTACAGTGGCTAACACCTGTAACCCCAGCACTTTGGGAGGCCAAAGCAGGAGAATTTCTTGAGCCCAGGAGTTCGAGACCAGCCTAGACAACATAGCGAGACCTCTTCTCTGCAATAAAATAAAATAAAAAATGAGCCGGGTGTGGTGGCATGTGTCTATATCTCAGCTACTTGGGAGGTTGAGGTGGAAGGATTGCCTGAGCCAGGGGGGTCAAGGTTGTGGTAAACTGTGATTGTGCCACTGTACTCCAGCCTGGGTGACAGAGTGAGACCCCGCCTCAAAAAAAAAAAAAAAAATCCTATAATGTCGTATTTACATTGGAAATATCAATATGTACTCAAAAGACTATTTTTTTAAAAGAAATGTGTACATAGTATTATAATATCTAGTTCTATCCACTAAAAAGGCCTAAAACATGACAAGGCTGGAGCCGTGAGCTTACCTTGCACACCTAGATATTAATTTTTTGTTGTTTTGTTCTTTTTTTTTTTTTTTCTTTTTAGAGACAAAGTCTTGCTCTGCTGCCTAGGCTGGAATGCAGTGGCACAATCCTCACTCACTGCAGCCTCAAACTGCTGGGTTCAAGCGGTCCTCCCGCCTCAACCTCCTGAGTCACTGGGACCACAGGTACACACCACTATGTCCCAGATAATAGTTTTGAAATGCCATTTTTTATTTTAAAAAATAGTAGCAAAGGAAATTCTTGAAGAAACGGCTGATTCCAGGTCTTTAGCAGGAAATATACATGATGAGCCTGGAATATCTTTCATGCCAAATAACAAGGAAACTATCAGAGACTGCTAGTAGCACATCAAAAGGTACATCAATGCCAGTTTGCAGATGTGACCATTTCAACAGCAACAAAGATAATAATTGCAGCTGATTGAAACTCATCAAATATGTTTAAAACCCTGAGTTTGTAACGATATTCAGCAAAACAAAAACAAAAACAAAAACATGAATTGATCACATTCTGGTGACATGGAAACAAATAATCCCAGCACTTTGGGAGACTGAAATGAGAGGATTGCCTGAGCCCACAGGTTCAAGACCAGCCTGGGCAAATTGGTGAGACCTCACCTCTACAATAAATAAAAAAATTAGCTGGATGTGGTGGTGTGTGCCTGTAGTTCCAGCTACTTGAGGGCTGAGGCGGAAACATCACCTGAACCCAGCAGGTTGAGGCTGCAGTGGCTATGAGCATGCCACCGCACTCTAGCCTGGGCAACAGAGTGAGATTCCAATGCAAAAAAAAAAAGAATCATATCAAGTTTTTAAATAATGGGCAAGGCTAAATTAGAATGTCTAGGGACATACACTCAGATAATTAAGCCATAAAGAAACGCCAATCAAGCCGGGCTTGGTGGCTCAGTCTGTAATCCCACGCCTTTGGGAGGCTGAGGTGAGTGGATTGCCTGAGCCCGCAGGTTCGAGATCAGCCTGGGCAGCGAGACCTCATCTCTACAATAAATCAAAAAATAAGCTGGG